AAAATACATATTCCGAGAGAGTTTTCTATTTAAATTTCATTTCAAATTGATATATTTTTTTTTGGACACATGAGTTTTTACGCCAAAAATAATACATAATTAAATGTTGGTTTTTGTTTTGTTTCTGTTGTATACAAATTTAGAACCACTTTAATTTCAAGTATTCCACATTAAATTTTCAAGCATTGCCCTTATACGTAAACCAACATTTCTGCATTATGTCTGTTTCTATTAAAAATCTCAAGCTATCAGCTGTTGCGCGACCATCTTGCCCGACCGATTGACTGTTTAAAAAGCGCTGAGCTCCTCGTGGTATCTCTTTGGTAGCTATTTGGCAAATGCAAAATCAAAACAAACACGTTTTAACGTGCTTAATTCAAGCATGACATTTTCACATTTGTACATTTGTGTACATTTGCACGAGTATGTATGTACATATGTACATATGTAGGTATCTTCATCAATCCAACCATTCTGGAACATTTGTGCTTGTGTTATGAATGAGATTTGTTGGCAAATTGGCTGATGATGATGACTCAGCGGCTGGCTGCCAACTACTCGTAGACGGTCTCTCATTTTAACAGGGTTACTTGCAAATTTATGAGAGAGTATAACAGCATGCATATTTACACAAAACATTTACCTTCCTAACTAAAAACATAGATAACAGAGAAATACTAGTGCAAATTTTTTGTTGGAGACGAGAGAGTTGAGGCTGTAAAGCACGTAAGAGTGTGTTGTGCAAATGCATTACGTATGTATGCGCATATGTAGATGCATATGGATTAGATATTTCCACCACAAAAATGCACTTCAAACCACAAGATTGCAGTTCTAAAATGTTCTAAAATGCATTTATGAATGTGCACATATTTACATCATATGCACATACATATACATAAGGCGCGCTGCTGAATTTTCATATTAATTCTCCCAAATTTTTCCTTCCTCAAAAAAATTTAAACTTCATATAGAGCAAAACGACAAATTGAATCCTTCAACAACACAAATCAAAATTTTTGTTTGCTTAAAAAACTGCACCTGCACTGGCATAAAATGTCAACAAGTTGCAACCGCAAATTTCACAACAAAAAAAAATGTAGTAGATTTTGACGGCATGTGATCACAGTTGCGCTATTATAACAGAGAACGCAGCGTGTGTATTGGTATGAGAGTACACATGCCTTGGAAATACGCCGGAGCTCTGGATCAAGATCATACATGCATACATATGTATGTATGTACATTTGTATCCACCGTTATGAACTCTTCTAATTGGTATTGTCTTTTTCATTGTTGCACTGCTTCATTAAGTGCAATACTCTGCTAATAAACGGGCTTACGAATTGGATTTCGGATAAAGGTGCGCTTAAAACTATGCAGCATTTTCTTAATACTTTTGTGGATTTGAGCGTTTTTTGCGAGGTTTTCGAAAAAAATATCATTATAAAAAACAGAATTTCGATAATAGTTGTACGTGACGGTATCAATCTTTTATTAAAATTCTACTAATGATATACGAAAAAGAAAAAATATGTACAATAAATTACGTACTGGATTTTAATTTAAAAAAATAAAATAAAATTTAGATTTGGAAAAATATTTAAAAATTTTAATTTGAAAAAAAAAACGTTAGTGCTTTGTGTGTGACATGCAGGTTAAACCGCCCATAATACTAAAGCTGTTTTTCTCTTCGATTCGTCTAACAACTTTTGTGCAGTCTTTCCGATTTTTATTCGGTTATTGTTCATAACTTTTGTTTTATTGTGATAATAAATAATTTGAGGTTGTGCTTTTGTCTTTGAAACGGATAAACTTAATAAAATTTTAGTTTTTCTACTAATAAAGCCCAAGTTACCCATGCACTTCCAATTACAGTCTCAAAATCAAATTGAAAATAACCTTTTATACAGTGCAAACGTGCATGTCCGTTTTTTTGGCCGAAGCTTTGGGATGCCTTTTTACATTTTTCGGTGACCCCCAACATTCAACAATAAAAAAATTGCTTTAAAATAGAACTGAAATAATCGCAATATGTACGTCCTTAGCAAAAGTGTAATGCTTTTTTTGGGGGATTTAATTTATTCGCATTAGGGTGGTACGTTAGTGGAGATAAGAACTGATAGCCGGTGGGTAAGTACTAGAACGCGGTATGAATGAATGAACTTTGGAACAAAAACAATTGTCTCCTCGAGGAAAAAACATGGATATATCACACTTTAAGATCCGATTGTAAATGCCGAAGATATGACGAAAAATGTAAAAAGGCGATCCCTACGTTCGGCCAACAAAAAAAAAATTGAAATTCTTTTGCGAAAATACTTAAAATTCGAACACACATTTATTTACTACCGGGCTACCGATTTCAAAAAATTTTTTGTTTTCATCCCAGCGACTCCGAAATGAAAACGAAAAATTTTTACAATACAGAAATGGGAGCCCGCTTTGAAATTTTAGGACAGGTTTTTCCCGTTGAGTTTTTAAGACGTAACCAAAATATGCATAAATATTAGGGTGCATCACCTGGAAAAGTTGTAGATTTTCTACCGTTATTATAAAATGTATTAGATTACGTGAGCTATACCGACTTGAAAATACCTCCAATCTCATTATTTTGGTTCCGTTTATAAAACTGTTAAAGATTGTTAAGCCTTAGAGCTTTTAAGCATAAATTCTTCTTTCATCAGATATAATTTTTTAGAAAAAATATTTTTAAAAACTAGTTTCATTTACAGCAAACTCGATTTTCGGAGTCCATATTTTTCCGAAATATTTTGGGGGAGGTCTTAAAATAAAATACAGTACAATTTTTTTATGAAGAGTGATGCGCCCTTATGCGTGCATAGTCTTAACTTATATGTAGAAGAAATACAAAAATTATAATAAGCCTCTCTAAAAGAATGAACTAAAAAATTTGATGTATTGTGGAACGATTTTCTGTCATCCCCCATCAGATTTTGAGCCATATTCAGTGTTATTTTTCGTTCTCTAAAATGTATTGAGATTATCGTTTTCGAAAACGTGCTGCTATTTATGCAGAAGCTTCAAAAAAAATTAAGAAACTATACGCTCCAAGCTCGTTTTTCAAGCGCTGTCCCGCCACTAGCTCAATGAAAACCGTGTACCCTTATATCGAAGTTCATAAAGTCTAGCAAATATTTACAAAATTCTGCAATCGTTTATCTGCTTAGTGGAATGCTTTAACAAATTCTCATTATCCAATCATCACTCCTCTTGCAGGTCAAATATTTCCGATAATATTTATGTATTGTAAATTTTTACCATTTACCATATTTTTGTTTACAAATTTTTAGAATGAAACTCGATGCATCGGTCAGTCGATATGCGTGTCAGTGTGTGCGTGCAAAGCAAAAAAAAAACAAAAACTAAATATTTACTATTCTCAACTATTTTCTAACATATTTTGTGTTCTTGTTCCAATTGTCTTTGGCTAAATGTAGAATACCAACAGCAGCCAGCAGCTACGACTACTGCAGCAGCAACAAATATCAACTACAGCCTAATCGGTGGCAGCAACAGCAGCGGCATCGGCAGCAACGCCAACAGCAACTGCGATAACAACAACAACAACAACAACAACAGCTACAATATACTAGACGGCGACGAATTTGAGGATTTTGAATTTGACATGGAAATGCTTGCAGATAGCAGCAGTAACGTAGAAATGTTCATTACGAACAACAGCAACAACAGCAACAACACCAGTACCACCAACAACACCATCAACAACATAAGTAACGAGATGAATTATATCAACGACACATTTACCGGCTGCAGCAGTAACAACATCAATACTAACAACATCAGCAACAATAAAAATAACAACAATATGTGTTACAATACAAATTTGATCAAAAGTGAATATGTAGAAGATCTATCCCAACAATATCTCGTTTCGTGCGATCTCCTAAATTTGGAGGAATGGCAGCCAAGCCAAGATTCTACATTGAATATCGATTCTATGCCAGATTTGCCCGACATCAGCGAAAACGCAGTCGATTTCAATAACTGCAAAGAACTGGACGACATTTTGCTTAGCTCACAAAATCCTATGTTCGCATGTGCTTCTGTATGCAGTAGCAATAATGTGAGCAATAGCCAACAAATGCAATTTAATTTCATCGACAACTCGGAGCCTTTCGTTCCGAAAATTGAAGATGACGACATCTTTTGTGAGGGCGACAACACGTTCGTAGCAGTCACCGAACCGGTGGCAATGGCAGTAGCACCCGTTAGTCTACCATCAGTATCAACATTAAAACACAGCACCAGATTGCGTAATAAGCGTCTGAAGGTGCATCTACCAACTGTGCCAGCAGAAGATCCACTCTCCACGCCAATTGTGCTCGGTGGCATTGTAGATCTGCAGGTATGTTATTAGAGGGTGCGCTGTTCACTGCTATAAAAACTATTAATTAACAATAAAATAGACTGACTTCGGGTATCGTGTTTCGGGTTTTCATTTTCGCGCTTACGCATTGCATCATGCTTTTGCCTAGCGATTGTGTGAGCATTTCTATATTGGCGCTGGTCAGTTAGTAGCTCAATGACTCGCAGCTATCTATGTACATTCGGTGTGCAGCAGGCAATTTCACAACCAAACGTCGGCAGATGTATCGTAGCGTCGCCTTAGTAATATTATTATTTTTTTATTTTTATTTTTTGATAAATACACACATGCATAGCTACATACAATATATGTAAGTACCGAACTAACCAACCTCTTTTACTATCTCTATTTTCAGGATGAAAAAATGGATATTGAGTCTTCTATTTATCTGGGAAATTCCGTTGTTAATATTGGAGATATTGTAGAGTCTTTGAAGGATCATACCAGTCCGTACACATACACCGATGAGGAATCACCATCGACACCGCAAAGCAGTTACTCTTTTACAACAAGCACAACTCCCTACTCACCCGCGCCATCCAACATCTCGTTCAACCAACAGACGAATAGTAATAAAAGGAAACGTGGCCGTCCCGCTAAGCAGCACAGCGATCAACCAGATCCAGCGCAATTAGAAAGTATGCCAGATGTGGACCGCAAGAGACTACTCGATCGTGCAAAGAACAACGAGGCCAGCCGGGTTTCACGTAGAAAGAACAAAGAACGCGAAGAGCAGGAAAAAGAAACAGAGCGTAAGCTGTTGGAGCGAAATTTGATGCTACGAACGCGAAGAAAGGAGTTGGTTAAGATGGAGAAAAAACTAAAACGTGCTCTTATGCGAGCCGCACCTTTTGCACTGTAGTTGGAATGGAGGGATCCATGAGAACTAGAATTACCAGAGATCTATTCATTTATTACATTTGTTGATTATTGGGTACCTAAGCTGCATATACTTATGTATTTATGTAGTAATTAAAAAAATTTACATTAAAAGTTATCATAAGCAGCCAAACGTTGATATAGAAATAAATAGGTACAGATGTACATCTATACATAAATGTGTACTTTAAGGTGTAATTGTTAAGTTGTTCAAATTATTGTCACATTGTGATTGCATGTGAGAAAACTCTCCTCCATCATTATGTGGGGAGACTTATATTTTTTAATCCCTAAAATTAATATTTTTGTATTTTATATGATACAACTATTCTTATGTTTATGTGAAAATATAATAATCTACAAATTAGTTTACAAAACTTACAACATATAAAATAGTCTTAAACAGATGAAATAAAAAATAGGTCGTTGGGTTGGTAAACAAAACGATCATAAAACAAACAAAAATTCAAATATGTATTTCTCTTTGCCTGTGGAACAAATTGTATTTATTTAGAGGATAATAAGTGCACACTGAGTCAACAAGCACATTTTTTGCTCCCAAACAGTTAAAGAAGCAGCGAGTACTACGTAAGAGGTAAAACCATTCTCAGGGGACAGGGGGGGAAAGAACTAACTAAAGTACTAATTTCTATATTCTTTCATTTCCGTTAATTTAAATTCAGTTGAGTTTGACACTTTTCAGGATTTTGTCAGAAAAAATTCTTCTGACTAAATTTGACTACTTCGGACTGAAGAGAGTCACTCTCACTGAGTGTTGCTCTCTCATTTTTGTTGTCATTTTCGAGTTAAGGTACGCTTTTTGGACTAAATCTGACTACTTCGGACTTTTTCCGACTATTTCTGGGAGATAAGGAACGCAACTAATAAAACAAAGAACCACGAATACAAACAAAGCAAAAACTACAACAAAAATTAGTGCATTATAAAAAAAAAAAACCCGAAATTTCACTGTCACGGGTGCGGCACGTACAAATTTGTGTATGAAAAGGAAGGAGCTTTTAGTGTGGTCCATATTAAAGATTAGTTATTAAAAAATATAAGGGGGCAAGTAGGGGTTGAATGACTATGATGAGGTACGAATAGCGATTACGCGGCTGAAAAACAAAGCTGCTAGAGCTATTCAAGTACGGCGGCGAGGAGCTGATGAGGTGCATACATCAGCTCTTATGCAGAATATGGCCCGACGACTAGAATTTAAGTGTGCTCTGCTCAATCCAGAAGAAAGGCGACCCCGCCACTCGCGCAAACAGCCTTCTAAAGATAGGTTATAAGGTCTTATCGAGTTTATTGTGCGTAAGACAGAAGCCCACCGTCAACGAACTGATTGGTCAGCCATTAACAGTGTGGCTTTAGGCCTGGCAAATCCACCATCGTGCCTGTGCTGGTGTATGGCGCGGAGGCATGGACAATGAAAGTATCTTATGAAGCGGCTCTTGGAGTTTTCGAGAGAAAGATTCTACGAAAGATTTACGGAAGTTGGCGATGGCGAATACCACAGACGATTTAACGATAAGCTGAATGCACTTTACAACGATATAGAGACGAGGTGCTGAGAATTGAAATTGAGCGGCTCCGCTGTCTTGGTCATGTCGTTCGAATGGACAGAAACGCTCCTGCTCTGAAAGTATTCAACGCGGGAAGCGATGCGTTGGAAAGACCAGGTGGAGAAGGACAATGGCTTCACTTGGCATTTCCAATTGGCGTCAGTTAGCACAGAAGAGAAATGACTGGCATGCTGCTTTGGACCCGGCCAAAATCGAATAGACGGTTACAGCGCCAATAAAGAAGAAGAAACATAAATAGGGGTTCAATTCACTCACGTTTTATTTTAGGATTTGTTTGTTTTCATTACAAATCAACGCGATTTCCTGCGTCTTGAAATTTTCACTTTAGCTTTTTAAATAAAACTGCATACCTAGTAAAAAATTATGAACAAAAAGTTTAAAATTTTTGGGTGTAATTGTTGAGTTTTCTTAATTTTTGTACAAAGTTTGAAATGAGGATTTAGTGGTTCTGATTATGTAATGCGCAATACTTTTAAAGAAAAAAACTTTAAATATTAAATAAACGAAAGAAAAAACCAAAACTAGTCAAAACATCACTTAACTTACTCAGCTGACCACAAGCGTATATATGTAGGTAAAGGACGAGTCCGTGCTTCCCCCCGCCTCCCCTGCGTCCGCCACAACAAACAAATAAAACTTATCAGCCCTGTAAACCTACCTGTAAATCTAGCTGTCACGGGTGGGACATTCTTCACTGTTGAGTTATTCTTATCTAACTATGTGGAAACGAAAATGCAATTGTGGTAAACATTTTCAATGAATTTCTAACATTAAGTAACAAACACGAAACACAACCTTAAACTTCTGTAATTAAATATAACAACTTTTAGCTTTTTTTGATACGGGTGCGACAAACAAATACTGCTTAATAATAACTTATAATATAGATAAAGTACTCGCACAATTTAATATATAACACAATTTTATTAAAAGCTGATGAGTTCTACTATATATTTTTCTTACCAAACACTTGAATTATGAATCGCAAATTATTTGAAAGTACTTTCAACACAGCCTACTTTAGACTCACTCAAAAAATTTACTTAGAACTTGATTTAAAATCGTCAAAAAGGTAATAAGAATGCATTTCAAATTAAAGAATTTGTTTTTGGTCGATTCAAGATTTTTACAAATGTCTTATCCATACGTTTGTTAGTTTTATAGAGAAAATACTTTTTGCACTGAGGTTCATTTTCCCATTTATGGGAAGTTCATATGCAAAAGGGAAGGGTTCTTGAAATGATGTGTAATAGTAGATATAGTGGCGAAAATATAAATGAGGCCGCGATATTTTAACAAGTTTTGGCTATTTTTCTTATGTTTGTTTAATGACTATTGTTTTTCATGAAAGTAAAGCTAGCAAGGTGTAATTTTTTTATTTTTTATTTTTCAAAGCTGTTACGAGATTCTGATTTTCAAGAATTCTATACCAATTTTTTTCCATATAAATACATGGAATGGATATCATTTCCTGTTATTCCATTTACAAAAATCCTAGGGGGTGAGAGCTTAACATTTGCAAAAAAACTTATATTTTTACAAAAGCTAAGTAAAGCTCTTTATTAACAAAAGCCATGTAAGCGCGAGTTTCAAACTTTGTACAAAAAATAGGGAAATTTGACAAAGTTTCATCACGATTTCGAGCTTTTTAATTGGATTTCTAAGGGACGTTTTCTCATGTCGGTTTTAAAATTGATCTGCCCTTGCAACAACTTTTTCAGAACAAAATTTGTGTTTAAAGGGCAGATAAATTTTAAAACCTACATGAGAAGACGGTTCTTAGAAACATTTTGAGCATGCAGTTTTGTAGACCATTCAATTTTAGTTTTAAGGTGCAAGTTTGAAGTAGCTAGGATGATTTTTGGCAATTTGGTTTGAGTTGTTGCTTCAATACGAACTTAGACCAGGAAGTTGAAAGAAATTGCATTATATATACAATTGTTTTTATTTTTTTTTTTATAAGTGAAATTTTGGACTTTTTCGATTAGAGGCTTTACTAAAATAAGAATCGGTTAGCAGTAGAAGAAAATGCTCAACATTGTCAGCAAATACAAAACATCGACGAGAATTTATAGCAACTTTAAATTTGCACTTATACTACTAAAATCGAATGGGCTGTAAAACCGCACAAGAAAATTTTATGTCAAAAAAACGGATTGAAAAGTTTAAATTTTGGATGTAAATTTGCTGAATTTTTCTCAATTTTCTATATTAAAAAAAAAAAAAAATACTCTCCACCATAGCTATTTTTTTTCGAAAATTTTCACACAGCCATTGTTAATGGTACTAAAACATATTTATGTGCAAATGTAGTAATAAAATATAAAATAACATTTCGGGTTTTATTTAAATTATGCACAAAAACATAAAAGACTAAACGATATTTCATAAAGTGATACTGTATAAGACTTTGTTAAGACACGTTTTCCAGCACGTACTCACATTTTAAAGTACAAAATACAAAACAAAAAAAAAACATAAAAAGAAACATATACCGGTCGAATTTCGCCACAATATTATGAGTTTAAAAGCATTTACTTCGCGATGATGATTTGCTACGATTATAAGTGTTGGTAGGCTCTTCTGCGCTCTCTCGTCGGCCAGCAGATCCACCATCATCGCCTGTTAGCGTTTCATCGACGCTGTCATCGTCATCGGGTATATCTTCTTCGCTGTCGTGTTCGCTTGCGTCATTAATACGGGAGCTCTGTAAGTTTATTCAATCATACACAAACTTACAATACACCAAAAGTGTTAACTCTTCAATAAATTAAGTCGGTTTATATTAGCCCAGAGAGGATTTGGATTTGATTTGCAGAGGTACGGTTGGTTATCGGGTTTGTATGAGGAATTAGATTATGAGGTAATTTACTATGCTCCATAGTGGGTGTCCGATTTATTTATATGCATACATGCCTAGTTTAGAGTAGAAAGTTGCGAAGTCTACTTATTCTAAAAAATATGTATTTTGATGTATTTTATTTCTAACCATTTCTACTCAATGATACGCAAACTTGCCAAGTCCAAATAGTCACAGAAAGTGCAATGAGTCTCAAAGAGTATAAAAACTTTTCACCAACATTGTGGAGTTTGATTCGTATGGAGTCGTATTAGCTTGGAGTAGGCGAAGACGACTTGTATTGCTCGAAAGGTGTTTATTCTCTCCTGTAAACTTTTAAAAACCGGACTTAGCAACTTTCGGCTCTAAGCTAGCGATTTGCGATATGTTTGTATGTACATATTTGTATTTAACTTACTTGTGACAAAATTTCATCACCGTGTATATCCTTATTTTTGAGATTGCCCATTGTAAATACGGAGGAACACTTATTGGCTGTCATAAGCGCCTTTACGCGAAAAACCAATGTTTCGACAGTTTCTCGCAACGCTGGAATTTGTCCAATGATCGCTGTATTCCGGA